TCCCAGTCTTCATATATAGATACTGTATGGCCAGATTCAGTATGCAGAACTCTAAGAGAGGTACATTACCTTTCAGACATGGAGTACCTTTATCTATGGAGTTGTCTCCTAGGACGACTGAGGAGATAGAGGACATGAAGACAGTTCCTTATGCTTCGGCAGTAGGAAGTCTCATGTATGCAATGTTGTGCACTAGGCCTGATATTAGCTACGCCGTTGGCATGGTAGCGAGATATCAGAGTAATCCAGGAAGGGAACATTGGGCTGCGGTGAAACATATACTCAAGTACCTACGAAGGAATAAGGAGTACATGTTAGTTTACCGGGCAGACAGTTTGTCTCCGCTGGGTTACAGCGATTCTGATTTTCAGTCAGATAGGGACGAGAGTAAGTCAACCTCAGGTTATGTGTTCACCTTGGGATGTGGAGCCATGTAATATCCCGTCAGCTTATCAGTATAAATTATGTTTTAGTTCCGATATATTAATATCGTCAAGTATTAATTTTCGGAATTAATTATTTCAGTCAGTTCAGTCGAAATTACCGGAAATTATTTTCGACGTACCGTTTACGTCCAGAATAATTTTGGTAATTAAGAATTATGTTTAATTGAATAATTAAACATAATTAAGTGATTAATTAATAATTAATCACAAGATTAGTCATAAAACGTACAGAATTTTCCCAATTATGCTCCAAGTAGCCGTACGTTTAAGTAAGGCATGATAGTGGGTTTGGTCCAAACTATTCTTCATTAGTAAGAATTTAAACGTGGCATTACCTTAGCTAATGGGGTGCTTAGTCACCTAAGTATTACTTAAGCTTAGTACAAGTTTCATTAAGGGAGCTAGCCACCAAGGTCTCATGTTGGTTTCCTCTTGGCGCCGTGGCTATATAAAGAGGAATGTTTGGAAATTTTTCCCATCTTTCTCTACATATAGCTAAGTTTCCCATAAGATTATTCACATACGCTAGAGAGTAAGTGAGGAATTTGGAGTGTTGTCCGCAACTAGCAGCACAAGCGATTACCGAGAGTATCGTACGCCGCATCGCAGGCTTAGTATACACGCACCGCAAGCCATCGCACGCGTAGTAGCAGTCCGCACGGCAGTCCGTCACACGCACCGCACGGCACGCAAGCGGAAGGTCACGGCCGAGCACGGTAATCCGAGGAGTGTTGTCACTCAAGTATCGGAGGTAAATTCCCAGCGGTTGTAGACTGAGATTATCATGTTTACTAAGTTCAGTTTTCAGTTTAGGCGTTCATGCGTGTCATATGTTGTTAAGGCCGTGCGAGAAGCCATGCCGAATCATGTCATGTTTAAAATTGAATTCTCCGAACAACCTTCACTCGTTTAGCTATTTTATGTAATATCATGTTCAGATTAGCTTTAGTGTTCGGAAGATTATTCATGTTATTCGGTGTTTCGGCCGAGGTGATGTGGTTGCGCACGTAGCGCACCACGGGCCGTACGCGAGCGTCAAATATGTTAAGTTCATTTTCCTCGAGCACTTTATGTGATGTTATTCAGTAAATCATTGATCATGTTCAGTTAAATATTATTTGCCGAGAAGAATTGA